AAAAAATAAAGGCTGATAGTTTCGAAAGAAACTGTTTGGGGCTGCGTCGGTGGGAGTAACGAAATAATTTGGATATATCAACAAAGTTGAAATGGTAAATTGGCCACCGTAGCGATTACAAAAGCTGACGTTTCGAACGTTAGCCCTTCGTCGGAGCGAATAGAGGAATTGTGGGTTGTGTGTGCTTTTAAAGGCAGAAAATGGAGCTACGTTATGTCAATCATGTCAGGAAATTATGGTACCACGTTGCTATGGAATCAAACGAACATTACACACCAAGAATGACTTTAAGGAGAACTGTGAGCTCATCTACCCAGTGTTTTGGTTCATGTACCTCGTGAGGACTTTTTCACTATGATCTGTCGGGATTAGAAAGGTCGTCAGGGAATTTTTCTACCATTTGCAAGTTAAAACGTGTTATGTGTACCGCTCCTTCACCTACGCAAATTTATCACTTGAGCTTTTTGTTTTGCAAGGGCTCGTTTTGCTGACTCAGGTAAAACTTGCGCAAAGCATTTGCATAAATCGTATTTGATTGATAATCTTGTTTTTTTCCTTGTAGTCGCTCTTTTTGCAAAGGTTAAAAAGATCACCAAGTTACATTTACTTTCTACGTCGACTGCTATGTTAAATATCCGTTTCTTTGCTTCTAAAAGTTCTCCAGGAATTAAATATTGTGTTTAAAAGGCACTTCCGCGCTAGAATAACTTTTTTACTGTGGACTAGACTTTCTCAGATGAAATGCCATTTTCCAGTAAACAAGGTAAATAATACTACCTTACTGAAAAAAATTGTTACTGCTAGTTAATTTGCCACGCAATTCTCGCGTGCTTAGAAGTTTTCTGCCAATAACACTCGCTTTTAGCTATCTTGGACTTCACCCCATTACGTGTAAATTCCTTGTAAACAACTACATTTCATCACGTATTTCGCGAGCAGGGCAAAGTCCCGGATAGGCAACAACCAAATAAGGAGCCTATGATAGTAGTAGTTGTAGTAGTAGATTTATTTATACTCGAAATTTATGGAGCTTGTCAGGCACCTACCTTAGATGGCTAATGAATTGAGTAGAAAATAAATGAAAATATGATACTAAAAAAGTTACAATAAGAATTCAGAGATAATAAGTAAATATAAGGTTAACTAATTAATTAATTAATTAATCAACCAATTAATAACATTAATTTTCACTACGTTCAATCTGTTTTCGCTTGTTTAAAGAACGGAGACCGCAAAATATCTTTGTTCAAAGGCTGTTAGAGATGAAATAGAGTTTTTGTTTGCTTTCCAAAACGAAATTATATGAAAGAATATTTTTGAGGCAATTATCTGTAACTGAATAATTAAGGCTTTGTCTCTGACGTAGCCTGCAGAGCAGGCGTTCTTGTGGAGTTTGGACGAAAATTAGGACTTTGGGCTTCCTGTTTTATTTTCCAGACCGCTCGTAAAATGGAGGGAGGTGAATAATTAGAAGGTGGGGGGAGGGGGAGAGGTTAGGGCTAGGAAAGGAACGCCTGCCAGCAGTACTTGAAAATTTGAATAACCCGTTCGCTCACGAACGAGCAATTCTGATTGGTCCAGTATTTTTTATTGACAGCAGAGTGTGACGTCAGTTTGGTAGGTATCACATCCAATGTGGCGTTTAGCGAAGAAGAGATAGATCTTGCGCTGAACGATTCTTTAGCTACTTTTGATGTCTTAGAAAACTTTGTTTTAAAACAAGAACAGCAAGATGCCATACCATAGAGGGCAAAATACTCTTTTTTCTTCCATAGAGACTTTGTTTGAAAATGCTGCTATTGCTAAGTACACTCTTCGATTTATGCACATATTCGTCGAATTCTTTCGAAATTTTCTCCTGAAAAATTTCTCTAAGTTCTGGTAAGATTTCTTCATGGCGGAAAAGAAATCTCAAAGCTGTTTTCCAGTTTCTAAAAGCGATGTGTTTCACGAGTTTTTTAGTTTCTTCCTCACGTGGAATTCTAACAATTACCTGCCCATTTCCCATTCTTGTCACGACTTTAACTTGTAATGCATCCTCTGGAAGATCATCTACGTTTAAAAAATTTTCCAAATCGTCATCTTTCCTCGGTATGTTTCTCTTCGATGAAGCTGGATCGATATTCTTGCTCACATTTAAGCATTTTCTTGATTTCGGTGTAGGTGGTTTGCACATACGAGCGGCTTTATTCTTTCTCCATGCCGGGCTAGATTTGTTCGGCGTATCTAACTGCCGCTTATTTGCACTTTTGGGCTTTTCTGGATTTTTTCATTGGCCATTTGCGTTCTTAAGGACGAATGCATGTAGCTGTCCCAAGTTTCTGACTTTCCTAGCACACGTATTGCAACAACGATCGGATAACTGTTCGTTGTTTTGAATGAGTTCGATGCCAATTCCAGCACACACGTCTGATAAAATTACTCCATAAGCATCACNCTGAATAAATTTTCTGATGACAGGTATGAGCCGTATTTAACTTGATTTCCCTTCGAATAACAACAAATTTTGACAAGCAACGGAAGTGAAAATCCACTTCCGTCGCGCCACCTGATTGGCCAATTGTTTGCGCAGTATCGTTACTCGTGCAGATCTAATTAGGGGGCGTTTTTCATTTTCAAGTGCTGCTGGCAGGCGTTCCCTTCTCTCCTCTCCCCCTCCCCCCGCCTCCTAATTTTTCGCCTCGCTCCATTTTACGCGCGGTCTGGAAATGAAACAGAAAGCCCAAAGTCCTAATTTTCGCCCAACCTCCACAAGAACGCCTGCTCTGCAGGCTATCTCTGACGCAGAAAGCATTGTCATAGCCTACAAGTAGGTCGTTGTTTGGTCTCGTCACGCAACGTTTGAAAGAGAACGTTGCGTGACGAGAACCAAATTAGGGCTGTGGTAGAGACTGCAGGAAGCGTGTTACCAATGCAGTGTATTTTTGCCAACATTTATTCTGGCTCCAGTGGCAATAGACCATAAGATACGTGTGTCTGAGTTTATTTCAGATAAATTGGAAGGTTTCTTTTTTCTCTCCAGTGAACGATATTTTCAGTGGAATCTTTTGAAAGTAAATGCTCTTTTTTCTTTTTCAACAACACAAACATTAGTTACCGTAGTGTCCCATTTCAACCCACACATCCAAAACAAAAATTACTCCTGCATGCGTGGCCTGCCTATGTTTTGAACAGACAAACTGAACTAGTAGAATTTTCAATCTTACAGTGGATACAACATTTTACCACAAGCCTATCAAATTAGACGTATCCTCCTTTCGTCCGCTTTCTTCTCTTCCATCGGCACGTGCATGTCTTTGTTAAGTCATTATGCTTTTTAAATTAGCCTGATGCAATTGGTGATTCTCCACATTTTTCCTGTTGCGCCTGTACAAAGCTGCACGACGGTTGGAATGAGAATAGTAAGAAAACTAAAAGCAAAAATTTATTACTTTTGTTAATAAGAATTTATTGAGAATTGTTTTTCTTAATTTCTCGATCATGCAGGAAAAGATGTCTGTATTTTCGAAAAATGCCTTTAAAAAGTTTCGCTTGGCAGTGTAGTTAAATGGTCTCCCACACATTTGATGTCGATTTTTCTCTTCCTATCAGTATATTTGTCAAATGTAATGAGTGAAAAAGGCAAGATTCACACACTGAACAAAATAAAACTCAAAATAAAACTCATCCATTCCATCATTTCTTTGTTTTTGACATTGATTGACAGCATGGAGGCTGTAAGTGCACGTGTGTTGCGGCAGGGCCGGCTGAATATTTGTAAAACGGCTCGTTTTGCTGAGCTATTTGATTTGCATTTCAATCAGGAACGATAATTTGACGCTTGAAATACTTCAGGAACTGTGAATTTTCTCGCTCGAAATTCACTGTCACAGGAAATTGAAGCGACTGTGTTTGTTTCAAAGCAAAAATCGTAACTTTCCTTAACAAGCGACCTTTCTGACTTTAAAGGAACAGAGGGATTACGTTTCTAATATCTAATCTGTTTCTAAGAAAGAATGGCTTACGTTTTAGCACTGAGAAAAGGCACGAGTAAAAGAACGAAGAAAAAAATTTTGTTGAAGAATGGAGAAGAAGGCCTTTTGGATAGGTCAACGTTGGCAACACAGTGGCCGACCTTGCCATGTCTGCCATTTGCAGGAGTGCGGAAAACTGACAGGTCAAGGAACACAACTTCTCAATCAACCTCTGAGTTGCAAACCTGGTTGGACTCTTTCCCTGGTAAAGTGAAAGAGAACGAGAAAATGATATTTAAAAAGATTGACGAGGCTTGGCAAAGGAAAGACATAGATGAAATGTTTCAGCTGATAAAGGTACGTCACCATCTGTGTATGTTCCTGTGCAGCTTGGAAGTTCTTGTCACCAAGACCATGAATTTCGTTCCTAAACACGATTGAATGATTTTGTATTCAGTTTATTCTTTTGTTGTAGGAAAACGAATTCAGCGATGAAACCCAGAAGAAAGCTCTGCATTATTGGGACCAGGGACATTACTACCAAGAAGGTGAAAAGCGAAACAAAGCGCTCACCCCGTTAGCTCGTTTCAGAATCCGAGAGAGGTGAGTTAACAACAAAAAAAAAATCTAAAATAACTCAGCTCTTCGCCGCAATTTTCTTTAGTTTTGTGAACTGTAACAGCTTTGATCAACTCTGTTTGCAATCGGGTAGACGTCGTCAGTTTCAGTTATCCTTTTAAATCGTGACAACCACTGATCAAATAATGTCTGAAGGGCAGACATGGTCGCGTCCTTTTACTTGCGTCATTACCCTTGAATGGTTCTGTAATAACATGACTTACGCCTGGGTGTGCAAAAAAAGGGGGTAAACCGTTGCCGGATTCAGTCTTTTTCATTCAGTTTGTAAACTAATCAGTGGTTGAGTTTCTGATTGACTGAGTCTAGTATTGTATGGTTTTCAAAATTCGGTTGTTTTTCGGGATTTTTGACTGAAGTAAATATACACGAATCGAAACCCTAATTGGGAATCTCTTTATGCTGAACTGCGTGCATACTCTCGTGCTTGTACTGAAAAGTACACCAAATTTCAGGGAACGAGAGCTGTTTAGTTTGAATTCATTAAAATCCGAATTTTTCTTGTTCCATCAAAAGCCACGATCTGATTAATCTATCGGCGCTCAGCTTCGCAACACTTTCTTCATTTCTCATATCAAAATGAAAAACTCCACGCGACAAAGTCCGCTAAGAACTTCTTTCATGTTCATGCATTAAAAACTGCTTTTCCTAAGCAAACTTATCAGAAATTTAATCATTCATCCATTGTCAAACAAAACTGCTGATTGCATTAGCGCGAATTATCCTTTAAATTTCTCTTGGGACGGTCTCGACTTCTTGTAAGAAGATAAGTTGCACCAAGAGATTATAACCTTATAGTATCTTGGTTACACGTAAAAATTAATTTGCTTTGTGGAATGTTTCCAAACTTCTTAGTTGCAGCAAGGTTTATATGAATTGACATCAATTCTTCCCCACGAAACGATCGCGATAAAAAGAGAGAAAATTCTGATGGAATTACGTATTACGCAAGGCAAACTTTCGTTTGCAAAAGTAAATTACATCAAGTATTTCCTCCGTCTCTAATAACTTTTACCGTCTCAGATTTCTCCCACCGAAAAACATCTGCCCGAACGGAAGGAAAAAAGCGACTTTACCCAGAGAAGCCACTGCTAAGCTTCGTGCTTGGCTAAATGAAAACCCTCGTCCGTATCCGACACGGGAAACCAAAGCTGCACTAGCAGATAACACTGGCCTTACCATCTTACAGGTATCTAACTTTAAAACAAATAACTCATGAAAAAGAAAAATACGGATAATTAAGAATCTGGCTACAAATTAGTGAGTATTGTAAACTTCAGGGGTTACACTTTTTAAATATGATGATACATGGGGACTTCGAGCGCGTTCCTAAAGGGTTCAAATAATTGAAATAATTTTATGGTTTTCAGTGGCGTAATTTTTAAACAAGAATTTCTGGTATCAAATTCATTTGCTGGATCTGTGCTTTTACACATTTTACTAGGTCAATACATGGTTTGCTAATACACGAAGGCGAATGCGGGGAAAAAGAAAAACAGAGAGAAAACACGAAGTAAAGAGCAAGGATTTGTGGAACAGGTCAAGGTGAATTTATCAACTAATCATGTTCTTATCAAGATGAATTCTATTCTGACCAACGTTACCCCTCTAAGCTTTATCTAGACGGAAGGTTCTTTCAAAATTATGGTAAAAAGTATACTAAGACAGTTTTATTTTCGGCCAAATGTTTACGAAGATGCCTTTGTGTTGTAGTCCGCCGGAACCATGGCAAGTTCCCATCTTAACTACAATGACGTCCACTCCATCTACGGTCCCTCCGTGCGCAAGCTTTTGCACGTGTCCACCACATGTTGCTCAAATTCTCGTGCCCACATCTTTGAGTAAGTTAAAAAATTTCAATACACTGTCAAACTGAATTTCAAACGAACCGGTTATCATACTCACATTGCTCCCATGCCCTGCCAGCCGAACTTAACGCATATTAATCCATCAAGTATTTACGCGCGAAAGCGCTATTAGTTAAAAACAGGCAACTCTACCAAGTATACCACGACTAAGATTAGGGAATACGTAAACGATAGACTCCATTTGGAGCGAAAACATATCCACAATTAGGGTCAGTTGCATTTTGCTTGGAAATTTCAGCATTATGCTTTTGAGCATCGATCACCCCTGAAAACATGACATTATGTCGAACGGAAAATCATGCTTGAGAGTTTTTATAATATTCAATCAGAAGCATATAATCTAGTTTATATGCTTCTGATTAAATTTAACTTGTCAAGAATAAAAAGCTTACGGAGGTTCAGAACACAGAATATGATCAAACTCCTAATGTGCAAGCAAGAAATGCAGGCCAATTCTTGACACTACTCAGGCCACGAAATTTATCTCTCGTTGAACTGTAACAGCAAGGGGATTTTTAAAAAGTTCATTGATTATGCAAGTATTACGCAGGGTGCTCCGACTGTAACATAATTCCGACAATTATGCCAGAGCCTGTAACCCATATGCAGTAGCCTCCATTTGACGCAAAAAAAATACTCGTGTATTTGCCTGCGCGGACTCAACAGGCTAGTTCCTTACGCGAGGTCTAACCCAAACCACGGTTTTAAGCAATCAACGAGGCTTTGTTAATAAGAAAGTTTATTTTACTAAATAAATGTCCGTCCACTGTTAGCTTTCGGCCCTCTTGACACTGTTCACAAATTAAATGTTCAGATGAATGGTCCGGCTAATTTGAGTATTGTTTAGAAAGTGGTTTTGTTAGACAACGGCTAAACTTTGTTACAATAACCGGCCCTATATGTTTCCCAGAAGCAAACTGTGAGCTGCGAGGTTAGACCTTCAACTGTGAGCAATTGTCAGAGCATATTCACGTTTCTGCGGTATAATTAGTTCCGAACATGTGAATGTACTTTATTTTTTATTTTCACAGGCTCAAATGTATCGGACTACTGGACAGAGTTGAATTGTAACGCTGGCACTCTCACAGATTGGCCCGGAAGGTGATCATTAGAATTCATGAGGGACGTACCAACTAACCCTTACAATATAAATGCTTTCATGATTGGCGCACATTAGGTCAATTGCTTGTTCGCTGACCAGTTTCCTCTTCTTGTTTATTTTTATTAAGTTAGATGATTTAAGGGGTCTACAACTCACCCCCCCACCCACTCTCCCTAAAAGAAGCACAAAGAACCATACGAGGAATCCTTCTTGCTCCAAAATGAGTAATTCTGTGATTTTAAGATTCCTGAAAATAATTTTGTTTTGTTCTTTTGTTTACACACGAGACACGTGACTTCCTTTTTATATTTTTTTTCGCTGTTTTCAAAACTAGCCCTTATAACCTACTAAGGATTACAATATTAGGGAGCTTAAGCAAAAGCACGACGGCGACAGAAACGTGGACGTGAAAAAACAAAAGGTCTAATTGGCAGAACAACAGCTCAGCACATGCGTTTTAAAACTTTGTACATTTCCTAGCCGTCCTGTGCAAAACAACAACGTGAAATCACCAAAATTTGCGTCGTCTGCGAACGGGAACCGCGACGACAAATCATTTTAATTTGCATTTGGAACTCAACGCTACTTTTATACGTTATGCTGAAGTTGAGGTGTGGCGCCGAATGAGAGGGTAAACACATGCAGCCATTTTTGAAATTCTAATTAAAAGTAGAAATTCAATTTTCAATCGACGACTTCCTTGACGTTGCCGTCCTGACTGGGTAAGGTCCCTATTTTCGAGCGCTAATCCCGCGCGAGTTTTCGGAGATGAATAGCAAAAGATAGTCGGAGTTTGAGTAGCCAACCAGAGCGCGCCTTCAAAGCTATCCATTGTTTTAGTTTATGCTAGCATCGATTAATTAACAATTTAACGTGACACCTGTTGTATTCAGTTACGCAGGAACTGTTGGTAACCAGTACTTGGCGCCACAGGTGGTCGCGCTTGCACCGAATTTATGGGAACCTGAACTCCAGTGCCAAGGGCTCCACGCAGCTGCACAGATACTCATGAATATGGCAAGCAAGTAGCCTGATGCAAGGCATCGTGGCGTCAAATCTGATTATACATATGATTTTTGAGTGATTCACTGCGTTTTAAAAGAAAATTTGTTGATGCGGGCCAGTCGTGAAATTTATTCAGATAACGAATTTGGCGAGTTCCAGTTGTAATGGTTTTGTTGAGCTCATTTCTAGTAGAGCATCACTTATATTATGGTAAATTGCAGTTTAAAATCCATGGTCCTAATTTCATTTCATAACTTTTACATCATGATTTAATTATACATATTTGAATTTAAAAACAAAAATTTGGAAGTTGATCTCGCAGTATTTTTCGGCACATCAGTGATGCCATTGTGATTTCAAAAATTACATTGGAAAGTTCATAACTGGTTTTGTGAGGTTTTTTAAAAGTTCACTGGTATAATAATGAAAATTCAGAACAAATTTGTGGCATTTTACAAACGTTTCATTTGCTAAATATGACTTGAATTGTGGGGATTTCACTTTCCATGCAAGTTTCATGATTCATATATTTTCCTGATAATCAATTATATGTTAAACAGCCTCTCTTTCGTTTGAAGGGTAAATGTGCCAGAGACTTCTCAGTTTAATGTTACAGTTTCAGTGACCACTTGATTATAAAGTTAACCATTGTCATCAATGACAAACTGAAATATGAATTAAACAGAAATTTCCCAAATCGATTTTCCTGTTTTTTTCTCTGTTAAGAATATTTAATGAAGCACCTTCTTTCATCCTTAAAAGTGTGAGTATGATGGCTAATACCATTTCAGACACATTTTGTTTTTTAAGGTAGAGGATAACCATGATTCCTCAATCATGTGCCCCTTAGAAATTAAACTTTTTTTTCTGGGAAGTACACCAGGCCCTGGTTGTTCGAAGGAAGCATAACACTATCCACTGGATAAAATCTCTGTCTGGTGGATAGCACAGTGTGTTTTGCTATCACTTATCTGCTGGATAGGGATTTATCAGTTCGATAAAGTTATCTGCTCTTTGAGCAACTGGCCCCAGCACTATAAATCCTGAAAAACACCGCCACCCAGATAGCCCAATGGATAGTGTGCTGGACTGTTGTGCGGGAGGTCGAGGGTTTGAGCCCCGGCTGGACCAACACTCAAGGTCTTAAAATAATTGAGAAGAATTTGCTACCTTTCTATAACATCAAGAAATGGTTAGATATTCTAGTCTTCTCGGATAGGGATGAATAAATGGAGGTCTCGTCTCTTGCAGGGTAAGGGGTAGGAGACGTTAATTTCCCCCACACGAGATCACTGTGTGATGGATGTCCTCCCCTGGGGTGGGATGGGCAGGAAGGTGAGGGCCATATGTTAGAAAACTTGTGTAAAGTTAATATGTTACCTTCGTTAAATAAAGAAGTATGAGTATGAAACATCGTCTGTCGAGAATATGACTTGTTTGCATAAATGATGAGTTTTATTGTAGTTAGACCAACAATAAATGCCCAAACCACATATTTTGTGAAAACAAGAAGAAAAGAAAAGCTTCTGCAAGTGACTGAGTCAATCACTGAGTCAGACATTCCATTTTGTCTTTGAAGAAAAAGACGAGATTTGTTAACAATTTACTTTAACTTTCATAAAGTCACTCTTAAAATGCAATGTTGCTGAGAGTTTGAAATTTATTCAAGGAATAACTATGATCCCCTCAAGTGAGCTACAAATTAAATCTTGAACTGTTTGTGCCATAAAAAGTAACTCAGAACAACAGTTTGTAAGCCTACTTCTGAGAGAGATTGAGAAGGAAGCAACATTTTTTTCATGAGTTGCACCACCTGTAGCCATTTCCTACGTTGTCCATGGGTTAGTGTGAGTGTACTTCTCCATTGGATTTGGCTGCATTTGCCTCTTTCCTGTAGCATCAATGACATTCTCCAAATCATAGAATGAATATTCATCATATGAATAGTATTCTTTCACTTTGTAAGTGCTTATGTCTGTGACTTCTTCTTTGATTTCTACAAAAAACATAAGGAAAATAAAATAGCAGTGATTCCGTAAAATAATTTTTATTGAAAAAATCATTTGGTCCATTGGTTAGTCAGGCAGTAAGTCTTTAACTCAGCCTGTCAGTTGGTCAGTAAGTCATTACGTCAGCCTGTCAGTCAGTCAATCAATCAATTAAGAAATTGATCAGTTGGACTGTGTGTCTGCCATTAGGCCAGTGAGTTAGTGAACCTGTCAGTCAGTCTCTCTGTGATCCTGTTAGTTAGTCTGTCAGTCAGTCAGTCACAATACCCCACCCAGTCAATCAATCCAGCAATCAGTTTGTAAGTCAATTAATCATTCAATCAGTTGGACAGTCAGCTTAAAGTAGGTAAGTCAGTCATTCAGTTGGTGGTTTGGGTGGGTTACACAATCATTCTATTGATTACACAGTCAAGGTAAGAGGATTCCAACAGTCAGACAGTAAGATTGAGTCAATCCCTCCAAATAGTCAGACAGACGGCAAGATTACTGTAGAACCTTATATCATCATGCACTGCATGGCACTTGATGAAAATAAAAAAATTGCAGCAGAAAATGGCCGAGGTTATAAGGAGAGAAATTCGACCAGCTAGTAACTAGAAGAGCCATATCTGAAGGGGAAAACGTATTTAGAATTTAAATCAATTTGCCTATAACATTGAAGAACTTTCATACCGGTCGGTGAACTAGAATTGACCACGTGAGGGGGATCACTGCCGTCGGTTGTTGAGCTACTGGATGTCAACCTCCACAATGCTGTTGGAAACCGCTGAAAAATTTATAAATATCAGTGAAATGAAAGAATCAAGCATTCGAAGGACGCCTAGTATAATTTTGGAATCGAGTCAATATACTTCATATCATTATATAAATCTAACAAACAAAAAAAACTTGGACCTTGAATACTAAAAGAAATAGCAAAAGTGTGATGATAAAGGTAATACTACCAAACTTAAATAATTTTATATTCATTTTGACCTCTTACCACGGCAAATTGTCGCAAGTTTCGGGAGGAGATGTTTTTCGCCAAGGCAGCCATCTTGAAAACCGGACCAAGCGTAATAACACGGTACCCAAGCCCCAATCGGACGATTGCAAAAATGGCGGACTTTCATGCAGATTTCTAAAATGTTTGAAAGGTGTTTCTTTAGATCTCTTTAATTTGACACTGTAATGGCAGACGGATTTGGTGCAATTACGTGGTGGGGATTTAGCCCAGCTCTCGATCTACAAGGCAGATATCAGTGTAAGTTTTGTTTCAGTTTATTATCATGCCAGAAAGCTCATCTCCACTACTCTAGAAGCTTCATTTTTTTTGCTTGTAGATCCGATAGGAAAGTGAATTAACATAATGATTGGGACAAATAATTCGCGTTGGTAGAAAGTAAAGCACTATTAGGGGTGCAAAGAAAATTGTAAAATTCAAGCATAGCTGTGAACGCCATGAAATGTGCAAAGGGTTGCCAATGCTGCTATTTCCATGACAACCCTGATTGCTGTGCCGGCTTGCTTAACCTTATAACCTTAGGAGAGACTTGCTTCTAATTTCTCCTTACACTATAACTGCTGAGTCAAACAGTAAGGTCATGAGAATAAAAGAAATGATCAACAACTATAGAAGCTCTTGTTGGTGAGTAAATTCTGGTTGTCAGTGCCATAGGTAATGCATATTGAACAGTATGGGGAATATGCACACTGATATTGAAATGTAAAGGGTTAAGATTTTTCATGTACCTGCTTTTTTAGCATCTCAAGATAAATATTAGTGATAATAATTTTGAATGACGTTTCGACCTCGCTGAGGTAATTTTCAAGCTGATGAGAAGGAAAATTTTTACATATATGTACTAAATTCAAGACATGGGAATGATAAAGGCGATAAAATATGAAAATATGTAAACGCTAGGCATAAAATAGAAGTGATAAAATTGCAAAGGAGACTACGAATAAATTAATATGAGAGTTTACGTAAGTAAAACTATAAATTATATGAAGATATGGTAAATTATTATTATAAAAATAGCTTTGCGCAGATTGAGTCTGACTGTTTGTTCAAGCTTGGCTTAATTTCTTTTATAAAAAGCATCTCGTAAATTAGGCAGTCCAGTTTACTTCTGCATTTCTTCAGGATTTTGAAACTGTGATGTAAATCACTTGGGGTATGCCCATGCCGCTCTTTAATGTGGTTCCCGATTGAAGACTGAGATGCTTTGTGTTCTTCAGCATGTTGGTAGAGGTGCCGGCATGTGTAGCCAACATAGTCTGCATCCCACAGACCACACTTAAAATAATACACAACGCGCTGCTGATTGATGATGTTGGGCTTCTTTTCCGTTGGTTTTAACTCATATCTGATCTTTCTGTTAGTGTACACAGGAGAAATGTCAGTTCCAATTTTTCAGCTTAGGTTGCCAAGTTGCCTTCGTACGGAATTTGCTGATGTTTGGTCCTTAAAAGGAAGTGTAATTTGCACGGGTGTTTTTTTCTCGTCAGACGTTTGATTGATCCCTGGATCCCACAAAAAAAAAAACCCCACAATACCACAAAAAATTATCCAACATTGTAATACCACAAATTCAAATGTCCCCCATAGAAAAGCATCACAGATGAGATCAAAATATGTGAGAATAAAAAAGTGACAAAGTGCAGCCTATGAACAAATGAACTTTACTGAAATGTAATAGACGATCTCTACATTGTATCATATGTTAAGATTCCAAACCAACTGATCAGCAGAAAGATACCTCGATCTTGTTACCTGTATAGAGGATATATATGTATATGTATGTATAGGAAGTCTGTGTTTCGATGTTTTCATACAGGGGTTTCATTAATTTTTTCAGCAGGAGGGTAACTGGTTTTCACAGGCAGGCAAAACTTTTTGAACTAAACTTCTTAATCAGATAAACCTTCCTCCAGATTGTAAACCAGGTGGGCAAAACCATCCTTACAACCGGTCAATTTTGCCGGTGCCCGGCCCTTAATGAAACCCCTGTTACAATGCATGAAACATAAAAGTAGTGCATGACATATATTGAGAAAGAAAAACACAGAGACCATACTTTTATCCCCACAAGCCTGTTTTGTTATGAACTCACTCTTCAGGGGATTTTAATATATACTATAAATTTGCATAATTAATATACAATATATTATTATATAAATTTTTTTCGTAACCCACAGCTTTAGCATCCAAATTAAAAGGATTGAACATTTCAGAGCCAGATGCTTCCAACAAACAAGGTAATTAAATGTGTCTCCATGGTAATGAAGCATTTATAATTTTTTTTGGGCACCTTTTGGTTGTTCATTCAGCAAGATTTTTTTAACAATTCTTTTTAAAATTCCCTTTCCCCCCCTTGCCCTAACCCTACCCCCTATATCTTCATCAGTTTTAATAAACCATGTTTCCTCAAAATGGTTAACATGGAACTTCCCCCTAAAGTACATGAGGGTATTGCTACTACACTATTTATTATTAACTGGTGTTATTTATTGATACACTATCAATACTGATCAATCGACAGGATTTTGAGAGGAATTTTTTCATTAAGATTGTTGATTAAGGAGATTATCAGTATTGTTAAGTTTTACGGTTTGTTTAAATTTTGATCTTTTACTCCTAGGAAAATGTAATATTCTTCTGATAGGAGCAGGTGACTGTCGCCACATTTTAAAGACCATTGTGCATTCATACAGACGTGTAAAGAGAGAGCTCTGTGTGAGTTTAGTTTATGATAAAGATACATTCCTTATGTTTTGATCAGATAGGGATTACATTTTATGGCTGTAATTTCATATGAAATTTCTCAATTGTATCTTCATTGCAAGCATAAAAATCGATTAATTAGAGATCAACGTACTCACCAACTTTTTGATAATTTCTTCTTCTCTCTCTCTGATTCACTCAACAGATCTTTGTGGTTGAGAATAATCTTGAACTTTATGCAAGACATCTTCTGCTTTTGTCAATTGCATTGGAACCCAAGAAAAAGCTTGGCCTGCAAGGTGAACAATAGATCACAGTTTTATAAAATGTACAGCAGCCTGCTCTGAGCCCTCGTCTAGTGTGAAAACTTACAAAGGAAAGGGGAATTGGAAGGAGATAGACTTCTGCATCCTGCTTCTGCATCCTGCTTTCTTTCATTTGCATTTTTTGTTTTGCTGATTGCTTACTGAAAGTATGACTGAATAGACTATAATATTTGAATAAAGAGCAGCAAGTCTCTAAAGAAACTGTGGGCTGTGTGGGTGGGGGAGTTTGACAAATGAAGATAATTTGGTTTTATCAACTGAGTTGATATCATAAATTGGCAATTGTAAAGAGTTACTAAAGCTAATGTTGATAGCTGTAGCTCTTTATCGGAGTGAATAAATGGCTAACACTTGGGACGTCAACTTTAGAAACCCTTCACAGTGGCCAAAGTATGTTATCAAGTCAGCTGATGCAACCCAATTACCCTATAACCTCAGTGACTTGTTATATTTCCTTTTTAATTCGTACTGCTGTAAAAGGTTGGAAGTTGCAAAAATAAGTGTTTTTGAGTGCTACTGAATGTTATCAGAAATAAAAATTATTTTGAAATATGTTTTATTCATAAACAGTCTTTGAAATTTTCAAAAATTTAACTAGTACTGACAATCAACTCCCTGTACAGTAGCTATTAAAGGTATTTGAATTTATCTTAAGAGTTTTGATTTAACTAACTGGAATATTTTAATGGTGGACAAGGGAATGAAATAATTGCCTTACAATAAATTTAGTAGATTTTCCCTTTTTATTTCAGAAAAGACAGAGTTATTTCTTGAACTGTTTGGGAATAGTCTTGTGAGACCACAAGCCAGTGATTACTTGCAGCAAAAGTCATCTGAATTTATCAAGTAACACTCTTTTTTAGAACTCTGCTTTGCATAATTATCATAGTCATTAGAACTCTCCTTTGCATAATTATCATATTTATCATAACTCTGTTTTGCATAATTATCATCATAATTTTAATTCCCTTGAAAGTGACTGAAAAGGAGCCATTGAGAAATGTCTAGGTTGTTGTACCATGTATTAAAAGAATAGTAGCAACGAAATCATATTTATATTAATTTGTGTTGAAGGTGTAAACTGTTGGGTTTGATATGTTTTCTTCCAGAATGGTAACTGATTCTGATTACCTTGAAGCTCACCTTCCAGTGTTCAACTTTTCCCAGCTGAAGGTTGCTATTAAAATAATTTTATTCTATTTTAGGACTGTTAGTAATCATGTGATTACAGTACTTTGTAGACCAGAAAGGTGAGACTTTACTCCTCCTGTTGAATGTGGCTCTCTCTCATGTGCCAGCAAACTGCCCACAACACCACTGTTTTAGTTTTTCATGGTCAGCTGCTATTGCTGGTAGCCATAAGGGAAAAATCTCATCCTTTGATAGTTATGTGACTGTTTACATGTAGATCAACATTATGGGCAATGAGACAAACCATAATCAGATTTTCCAGGCATTTTGTTCCTTTGTCTTTTGTGTGCAGAGAATTATCTGCCCTTTATTTGATTAGATTTGATTATAATTTTTTAATCTATCCCTACAACTCATTCTCTGAAAGGGAGTCACTTGCACTTTCGGTGAGAAATAATTTTCCTGTCTTTACAGAGAAGAATTTTATATTTTGTGAGTTGCAAACTTCCTGGTATGAATATTTTCCTGATAGAGTAATGATTTTGAAAATATGAAAATCATATATAATTATGTATACTGCAGTTTCATGAAATATATTAAAGCACTACTGCAAAGGTCATGGGTTCAAATCCCGGGGCCTGAATTTTTTTCAGGTTTTATTTCCACTACTACATAAGCCGGGTTCATTACTGCAAGGATAACTTTCACACATTACTGATAAGTTGTCTACTAGCTGCAAGATTTTCCTCTTTTTGTAGAATGGTTACCCATTAAGGTAACCAATCACTCTTAAGTCATAAAGTAGTTAAAATATGTATAGTACCAATGTCAAAAACTTGGATTGCAACTCATTTCTGGTTGTTTTGTCTAGTTTAAAGAAAGAGACCAGTTGGAAAGCATCTTTAAATTCTGGAGAAATTCTGATCCCAAAATCTTTGACATCTGCAGACACTGGTAAGGTTTAGGCTTCGATTTATTTTACATTCTTGTTTTAGGGTGAACAACTAAACGAAAGAAACTTGCACATTATCTGCTTTGGCATAGATGCTGATAAGTTCTCAAATGCAGCTTGTTTTTTTCTTGGCTCACAACTCTCTGCGTTTGAGTACCTAGATAAAAATTTACCATCTTTCTAAATCGTTTTACGCACAACTGCTAAAGTCTCAATTGTATGTCTTATGGTTGTCACATGTGAACCTAGATAATGACCTTCCCTGCCAACAAACTCTCTGTAGCTTAGTGGTTGAGCATAGGGCCTTGAAATTGAAAGGCGCAAGGTTTTATTCCTCATTGAAGAATGGGATCTCTCTTTGATCCCTCCTCGTGATGAAACAACAAACAACTTTCTTTTGAGTCACCAAGGGTTGTATCTCGTTGGAAAATTAAAGTGAAAACAAATCTTGTCGGCAAAGAGGAATGAGAATCATAACTTACTAAATACAAAAGCTTATAATTTGCCGTCCTCTGCATAATCTTTAACCCTTATCTTGATCTAACCCCAGATTCTTGTTACAATTTACAAGGAAATGTTTAGCGGCTAGAGGAGAGAATTAACAATCAGATCTTGGGAGTTAAAGAGTTAATAGTGCTATCTCTCACAGCATTTTATGATGATCTGATGTTAGTTGATGATGCTTCTTTTTTTTTTTTTTTTGCAGGGATGAGAGGTTGAGGCAGTACCTTGCTGTTCGCTATGACTCTAGGGAGAATATCTACGACTGGGACTACAGTATGAAATTGTCCAAAAAGGTAAATTGTCTGGTATTGCCAGCTGTGGCAATTTAGTGGTTGCTAATCACACTGCAATTCCTCTTTACACGAGAGGAAAGTGAGTTTGGCTCCACTGTGTAATTTAATTGCCCCTGGCTTAATGCTCGGATGTGTGGAATTTTCTCAAGTGCCTCTGAGGCTAAAATTGATGTTTCTAACTTTTGAATCATTTTCTGCGTTGAACAAAGTTGCTGTGAATCTTTTATTCTCGTTATTGGTCCATAAAACTTGCGCCACTCTCTCATCCAATCAGATTCAAAACTTAAAACCGATCGCGGCGCAGTCGATCGCGTTTTTCCCGCGTTTCAGACAACTTGCTTGTTTCTACTTAGAGTTCTCATTGGCTGTGATATTGCACTTTTATGAAAAAAATGAAAAATTACCTGCTGCAATTCGGAACTCAGTAAAAACTAGTAAAATCCTCGGGAAAAGGAAAAAGGAAAACCAAAACTGGTTGAGTAAGCGAGCCATCCAAATATATTAGAGACTTAGCACCGTGTTTACGTGAAACGTGAACAGCAACAGTGACCACGCGGCAAACGTCAGCGTGCCCTTTCACGTTTCACACAAAATAGCGTGAACCTTGCTGCTTTAGCTTTGCGTGAGCTAACGTCCGGGTGGATTTGAAGGCGCCCTTGTATGACTTACAAGGAATAGTTTTGGTGCACTTTTTCTGGCAATTAACTTCTACTCTCTGAGAGAAAAAGTGAAGAAAATCTTACGTACCCGGCAAACGCCAAACCGGTGTTTTCACGTAGAAACAGCAAAGTGCAGCCGGCAAACGTGAAAAAAGTGGCGGGAAAAACAAAATCACGTGGTCACTCTTGCCGTTCACGTAAACGCAGTGCTAAGTCTCTCTTACTAGTAACCTGTTTCGCTTTTGTCGTGTACTTAAGATTTCTTCAAGCCTTCAAATCCACCGTAAGCTCACACGAAGCTAAATCAGCAAGGATCACGCCATTTCACGTGAAACCTGAAGAGACAAGCTGACCTTGGCTGTTTCGCTTAAACACCATGCTAAATCTCTCTATTGCTTCTATCGTATTACTTTTAGGCATCAATTATTAATAGCCGTGAGTAAAAGAACTGGCGTGAACAGGGCGTAGCGTTTGAGTTACGTAGTGACTCCACTTATGAAGTAACCAACAGGACTTTGGCTTCTGGTATCATCATTAAAAAGGTAAAAACAGCGGCGCACGTCATCTTTGATTTATTTCTGAACAAACCCTTGGCAACATAGAATCTATTTGTTGAACAGACCCACCGCAATGTCGGGCCGGTTATTTAAACAAAGTTGAGCCGTTGTTTACCTAAACCGCGTTCTAAACTATCTTTTATTTAGCCAGACTTTTTACCTGAACATCTATTTTTGCGAACAGTGTCAAAAGGGCCGGAAGCTTACAGTGGAGAGACATTTATTTAATTAAACCAATCCTCTAATAGAGAATACCTGGAGCCCATTGCTTGCGTGAAACTGCGGGTTTGGGTGAGACCTCGTTGAAATGACCAGCCCATAGAGTCTGTTTGTGTTATGATAAAAAGCAAAATATTAATAGTGACGTCATCTTAGCGTCCTTCCTCCAGTAAATTTTAAATGGTATAATTCAACTTAGTTTGTAAAAAGAATTACTCTCTTTCTTCATTTGTCAGGATGGAGAGAGAGTTGCTCGCAGAGGCTACTGGGGAGACATAATCAACAGTCCTTATTTAGCTTTTGGTACTGAAAGTGAAGAGGAATCTCTTTTCCAAACTTCCAATGGACAGCATGTTAAAGTAAGTGAACTTCTTGGGTCGCTTATATTTATGTACCCATTTTATACAGATGTTTCGAGAAAAAGTTGTCGGAAAAAGAACAAAAGAGCATGCGGCCATCTCGAAAGGTAATCTGGGTATCGGGTAAACAATGAATTTAAGAGATTTTCTCTTGGTGAATTTTGATAAGTCAATTAAATAATACATTCACCACACATTCTAACTCTTAAAGTGATGTTTTCAAAAATTTTCCTGAAATGTCGACGTCAAGGAACCGTGACCTGAAAACTACCCACAATAGCTTTTGGGGTTGTAGCGCAGACATTTTCGAGACCCGGGCGAGATGACTAAAATTTCGGGCGACATGACTCAGCTTCCGGGCGACATGACTTCGGGCAAGATGACTTACGAGCGACTTGAACGGTTACCTTCCCCAGTATCAATTGTACATTGTGACCCGTCGACTCGTAACCGTCAGGCGATAAGGTCGAATGGTTACGTGTTGATATTGCACGTTCCAACTGAGTGTCATAAAAACTTATGTAATCGCGCGGCCTAAGGGAGATTTTGACGAGAGCCACTGAGAACTCAGAGTTAACACAAGCAAACTGCCTAAAGCGCGGGAAAACGCGGCTGACCAACTCGTGATTGATTTTAGTTTTGCATCTGATTGATTTATAAGGTGGCACGAGTTTTCTTAACCAATCACGGAGCGAAGTAGATTAAGACTAATATAGTACCAGATTACTTCAGCCACTCAGTTTGAAATTACTTGGTCTTGTTGCACCTTGGTTTGCTGGTATCAGTATGATTTAGTACACCGTCATTGTCGCATTGCCATCCTCATAAATATGACTAATTGAATATCAGACCTTCGGAGTTCGCACTCCGTTTCACTGAAAACAGAGAACTCGATGATGACTTCGGCGATGAACTGCTTCATATAGAGCAAGCGTTTTTGTATTCCGTAAGGATCAACAAGTTGGAAAGCGTTGAGTATGAAATAAAGATGGCAAATTTAGACCTTTGAGATGACCTGTACGGACCCATCCTTTGAAAACACCCGGCGTGTGCTGTCTCTAAATGTTCTCTTTTTGTATCAGACAGCAACAAACGTCTCTGAATACAACATCACGGCCTTCATGCATGAAATATTAACAGGAGAAAAATATATCGCTCCAAAAATTGATGACGAAAAGAAAGGAAAGAAAGAGATGGCTACTTTACAGGAAATTCAGGAAGAAGAAGTAGAATCAGATCAAGTGGGAAGTACGAAAGACGAAGACACGCCTCAAGAAAATGTGCATCCGACACAAGGTAATTATAGGACTTAGTGTTACAGACGTCCTGTTATCGTTGTTCTGGTTGTTTCGAATCACAGTACTCCCTAGGCGGTTCGCAGAAACCGTGCTAAGCGACTGGTGAAGATCTCAAAACGCAAGGGACCACTGTTCCTAACTTAACTACGGACTCGGAATGTTGTTGTTATTTTTGTTATGGAAGGAAGGAAAAACGAAAGATTCAAAGAAAAACCTTCGGAGTAGAAACGCGAGACCGACAACAGACTTAACCTTAATGTGAGCCGGGTGACCTTGTTCCCAGGCTCTCTTCTCTTACATGACCCCACCCCAGGTAAGGGAAAGGCCCTGGAAATAAGGTTGGGAACCGGGTTCGCAAATCGAACCAAGGCTGTATTGAAGAGAGGCAAGCGCCATCAACTGCATCAGTCCCGCTCCTACATCAGGTCTGTAACTTATATTTTTTCCCATTTTACAGGGTACATGAGGTGTCCTGGTACCACAGTCACTTTTCTGCCGTTGAATTGTGTTCCGGATCTCTCCAAGAAAAGCAAATACAACAAGCTATTTGACGTCATTTATTTTTCAAACAGGTACGTGATGACGGGGTAACCAAAGAGTCACCTTTCAACATTTTGGGCTGATTTTTTGCGCTCTTTTCAGCGTTTAAAATACTTAGTTCTTATTAACCGAGCGGGAGGTCTGTATGGGAAAATCTTGACCGAGGTCGCCAGTACAGACC